GCGCCACTGGCTTCGGACGGGTCGCGGCTGCTCGCAAAGCACCGTCGCAGGTCTGCGGCCCTGCGGTCCCGCGGACGCGGGTGGACGCCTCGGCCGGACTGGCGACTGGGCGAACACCAGGCAGTCACAGAGGCCTCAGAGAGGGCCACCCACACTTTGTACCTTGGAGGATGGCAAGACCAAGTAAAGGCAAAGAATGCTCCGGGCACAAGAAAAATACTATCAAATCTGGAAGGGAAAACATGAGAGGACTGCGAGAAACGATAAGCCGGTTTGACTTGCATGAAAGTCAAGAAAAAGTCTTAAAAAAACTTGGAGTCAGGCGGGGCCCGGTGGATCAAGCCTGTCATCCCAGCACTTTGGGAGGCCCAGGCAGGAGGACTGCTTGAGCCCAGGGGTTGGAGACCAGCCCGGGCAACTTGGCAAGACCTCGTCCGTACAATAAATCAAAAAATTAGCCAAGCGTGGTGGCACGCGCCCATAGTTCCAGCTACTTGAAGGCTGAGGTGGAAGGATCACCAGAACCCAGCAGGTTGATACTGGAGTGGCCATGAGCGGGCCACTGCACTCCAGCCTGGGCAACGGAGTGAGACTCCGACTCAAAAAAAAAGAAAGAAAGAAAGAAAGAACTTGGAGTAGCCTTAAATGCCAAGCACGGGAACGTGGGCTTTGGCAGACTCCGGGAGCCTGTGAACAGGTGGTGTGCTTCCGTGTCTTAGCGGGACTGCCCAGAGACCATCCAGGCTCAGAACAGACCGCCCAGCCTGCAAGTGTCGTCGGCCCTGAGCCTTAAGAAAAATGATCTTGCCAAAATTACTAGAGCAGAAACAGAGGACAGAGCCCGCAGGAACAGTCCTGTCTTTTCAGAGACAGGACTTCACTTGTGCCCAGACTGCCGTCCGGTGGTGCAGCCATAGCTTGCCGCAGCCTCCAACTCCTAGGATCAAGCAGTCCTCGCGCTTTGGAAAGCAGGTGTGAGGCTCTGCTCCTGGCCCAGTAGAGGGGCTGGGGGTCAAACCTAGGGCCTCTGCCTGCCAGGCACATATCGTAAAGGTCACAAACAATAGCCTGGCCTTGAATGAGCAGACCCATCCACTTCCTTGCCCTAGGTTTTCTTGCCATCCTCTGGGACGTCTGCTGTGCTCTGTGGCATTCCGCTTCTTTTTTTTAATTTAATTTATTTATTATTATAAAGATGTGGGGTACAATTCAGGGCTAGGTATACACACATCGATCATGCAGGTACCTTGTTGACGAGGCATGCCTCTCCCTCCCCTGGCAGCTCCCCCCAACTGCCAGGCCCACTCCCCTTCCCCTGACAGTTTTCCGCTACTGCCAATCGCCTTCCCACAGCCTTATAATTGTTCAAGGTCACCTTAGGAGTGAGAACATATGGAACTCAGTTATTTGTTTCTGTGATAAATCACTGAGTATGATCGACTCCAAATCCATCCAATTTGCTGCAAAGTCCATATACTTGTCCTTCTTTATGGCTGCATCGTCCCTGCTTCCGGGGCTCGGGCGGCAGGACCCGGCCGGGGTGGGCTAGCTGGTCACACGTCTCCCTCTTTTGCTGCTCCAGGCTCGGT